ATATGCTCTGATACGACTACAGCTGCTACTTACACTCTTAAGCCCCGAAGCTTAAACCATAAACTGAAAACCCCAAACCCTATATCCTATACTGTAAGCCCTAAACTTTAAACTCAAGACCCCCAAACCCTACAACTCCAACCTTGAGAACGAAATTTTCTCCTGGTCTCCTCATTAGGTCAGCTCACAGCGATGTCCGGAGAGCTTCATGTGATCCTGTCTGTTCTCCTTAATTTTGGGTTGAGGGCTCAGGGAGTTTTCAGTACATAAGTCTTCTTGTGCCCGGCTCATATGTCGTGTTTTGACTTTGGAAGGGATGTTGCATCCCTCTCCCCACTCTGTAGTGAACGCTTGCCCCTTGTTGATGTAACTAGTGGTTGCAAACTACTCACCTAGTCCCCAAACCCTACACCCCGTAGATCCAGCTACATACATGAACATATGTATATCCCTGTATACCCCCTTTGTATCCCGTAGGCTTTCGTATTCTAAACTCTAAAGCCAAGCCTAAACCTTAGACCTTCCGAGCCACCCCTAAACCCTACGCCCTAAACCCCAAGCCCTGAACCTGAAGTCAGACCCAGGGGTCAGCTGGGCCTGGGTGACTACAGCTTCGAGGCGCCAAGTACTCCCCGCCGTATTGATACCCAGGGAGCCCGGACAGTTTACCTCAATACTGGAGACTCAAATAAAAATTCAACCTGGAGCATGAAAAAAAGGCTGGGATTATGTATGGGCTTATAGGAACAGAAGAACTCACTGAACGATCATACCCGAGATGAAACTACATGATCTGATGTTTACTCCTTGATTAAGAGGTATTGGGCCCTTTGGGTATTCAACACACCCGAAGAGGGCTTATAAGGGGGTATGTACAGGTCTTGAAGCAAATGAGCTGCTGTAATATTCAAGACTTGGGGCTTAGGATACTAGGCACCCGCCCAACCCCTAACTACTCGCCAGAAGCGACCATGAACTGGGGGCCATATTTAAGATTCAAGGCTTGGGGGTGTTTAATATGTATGAACGGATTCTTGATATTGTTGTCTCAGTCTGTCTCTCCCTTTCCCAATCCTCGTACACAAGGGGTACTGCTACCCTTGCAGATTTGGGGTGATGGCGACCTCCAGAGCCGAGATTGGGTTTAGTGTTTAGGGGCTGCTTGAAAAAAGAGGTATCCTCACGTTTGCACCTCAACCTCTAGATCAGCACAACCCTTCAGACACGTTATGGGTTACAGGACCCTGGAGGATGCATGTCAGGGCATGGTAGGCGTGGCAGCATGCTGACAAGCAAAGGAAGCATCTTACCCTTACTGCCATGACCTAGTACCTAATCCCTACACTTAGCAGAACAATAAGACCACACAGCCTAAGAACTGGCAGATTGCCATGCAATCTCTACATAGTGTCCAAGATTTCCAGATTCTAGATGAAGCCGGTCCCTCGTGTAAAGACCCTACCTGGTAATAGTCGTATACTCGGCATATGTAGTAATTTCCCAAAATAAGGGGACCCCAATATAGACCCCCAAATACTATAGTCCTTACTATTGGGACCACCAAAAAGGTACGCCTAATTTTGGGAAACCCCCATGTAGGGACCCTGCCATGCACACCATGTTTTCGTCGTGGTCGCTGGTGGTGAGCAGGGGTCTAACCCCAGTTCAGGGTTTAGAGGGGTTGGTAAGAGCTCTTTGTGGCCATTTTGTGGGGCTTCTGTAGGGGTCGACAAGGAAGTTGAGGGTTCATTTCTATTTGATTGCTTGTAGGTGATTCGCACAGGGGGCGCGCTTGTTGCTCAGTTTCAGCTATCATGTTCCCATCGTTGTTTATGCCCTAAACCTCGCAGCCTCCCTAATCGCTGCCTAACATCTAATCCCCGAAGCTTTAACTCTACTTCCAGCACACATTGCTAAGGGCCCTATATGTCTTGCGCCTGCGAAAAGCCTACAACTCAGACCTAAAATCCCAAACCCTAAAGCCTTAATCAGAAGAAATGTGCAATTAGACTTGAAGTCTAAAACACTAACTACTTGGAAGTAGAAATCCTAAACCCTAAAGCCTAGACTTCAAGCTGCTGACCTAGACCCGAAACCCTAAACCCTACACCCTATACAACCTTGGACCCTCAACCTGACACCCCTGGGCTATGGCGAGGACCCAGCGAGCTGCCTCCTTTCGCCCGTGCCCCCGCTCATGGGCCGCGGCCGCTGAGCTTGGTTTAGGGTCTGGGTAGGCCCCTGGGATACTTAATATTTTCCTTAATGGCTTTAATAAGGGACCCTAGAAACTAATATTTTTCAAAGGTTTTTAGGGGCCAACCCAGGGGTTGAGAGTTAGGAAGTAGGATCTAGGTGTTCCGACATTAGGGTTCAGGGTTGTTGCGATGTTTTGGGGTTTTGGGGCTTAAGTTGCCGAGTTAAGGGTTTAGCCGGTTTAGAGTCTAGGCCTAGGCCCCGGGTCGCAGAGCTCAGGGTTCAGGTCTTCCAGAAGATGTAGAGTCGGGGCTTGAGCAAAGACAGGGAGTGTTTCTTACTGCTCATGTTAGGGGTTCCCAAAATTAGGGGGCACCTTTTGGAGATCCCCATAATAAGGACTATAGCATTTTGTGATTCATTTTTGGGTCCCCCTATTTATGGAAATTTCAATTGTGCTAGCCAGGGGTTTTCCAAATCCAAGCCCCCTCGCAGCCACGCCACTTCCGGCGGGAATCCTGGTGCTCCCTCTGCAGTCCTCATACATCAGTAGCCAGGTCTTATATTTCCCCACAGTTACATGAACCACTCGCAAAGGCGACTCTGCAAAGACGACTTTTGGTTATAGGGGCCTATGTGGGATCCATGGTTGTGTGGTAGACAGCATGGAGCTTCCGCCTTAAAGCCCGAACCCTAAGCCTTAAACCCCTGACTTTATACTCTAAACCCTGAACCCTATACCCTAACCCTGTTCTATACAACTTACGCCCTGAATCCTGAACCTTATACTCTAAGCCCTGAACCCTATACTCTCTCTAAACCCTGAACCCTGAACCCTATACTGTAAACCCTGAACCCTATACTCTAAACCCAATCCCTATACTCTAAACCCTGAACCCTATACTCTAAACCCTGAACCCCATACTCTAAACCCTGAACCCCATACTCTAAACCTTGAACCCTATCTCTAAACCCTGAACCCGATACTCTAAGCCCTAAACCCTGAGCCCTACACTCTAAACCCTAAACCCTGTCTTCTTGCTCAAGCCCCTGAGGCGCACAGCCCCAAATCATCATCGGAGCTGCTTGCGGAGGCCGCCAGGGTTTAGGGCTTAGGGCTTAGGATAGGGAATCGCCCCATATCATATTGCCATCCCAATATATCCCATATTCCATTTACTTACGCGGACCATACTCCCCTACCCCCAGAAATAAGACCCCGCAGCCTTTAATTTACTGGTGCTCTCCATCGGGCACCCTAAATCCTAAACCCTAAGCTCTGTAAACCCTCAATTGTGTGGAGTTGCGGCGGCCTGTAGGTGAGCACACTTTGTTCCTGACGCGCGATGCCAACGGCACGTCGCAGAAGGCCAAATCGGGTTTGGTTTTGAGGGTTTAGGGTTTGATAGAGTTTGTGGCTTGGTCATTCAACATAGACTTGGGGGCTTGTGGGAGTTCAGATTAAGGGTCTACGGGTTCCAGGGCTCAGTTCAGGGTTTAGGGTTGAGAGTTTGGGATGGGTTTGTAGCTTATACCCTTAATAAGGGTTGGGAGGTTCCAAGACTTAGGTCCAAACATGGCGTGCCATCACCCCCCGCAAAGAACATAATTGCCTTCCATGTTTCTTCCATAAACGCAAGACCTGGAACCCTAAACCCAAAAACCCAAACCCATGAGCCTCTTTTCCCCAAGCATGCAGTCGCGCTCCCTCACATTCCCCCAGAGTTTTGGCTTCCCAGAGTCTCCCCTCAAGGTATGCCATATGAGGGATAGTGAGAGTGTAGACTATGGCTCATATGGCATATGCCCTACAGTCAATATTAGCCTAGTCAAGGCACCCTTCACAGTGGATCAGGGTCCGTCTTGTAGTGTAGTATAGTCCCTAATAAGGAACCCATTATCCGATTATGTAGGAAATATTGCCTGTAGCTCACATGACGCCTTCTGAGTTTGCTTGCGCTGGCGTGGCGTGAATACCAACGCCTCGAGCCAGGTACCAGAAACAAATTTCAGCTTCTCTCCATGGCCCACTTTACATGCTCTCTTGCAGGCCATATGCCCTGAACCCTAAATCCTAAACTCTATCTGAAGCTTCGCAGTTGGCTGAGTCTCCATCAGACCTCAGTCCTGAAATCCTTCAACCTCCTAGGAATCCTGAATGCCCAAACCCTAAAGTTCCTAAAGCCTAAACTCTTAGGTTGGGATTGTGGGCCCTTAGGCTTTTTTAAGGGCCCTCAAGGACTTTGGGTAAACCCTGTCAGCGAACCTTGAATTCCATACCCGCCCCTGTCGCTTTGGCCGCGCAGATTTCATACCCTAAGCCAAGCCCTAAATCCCTAACCATTTTGCTGTAGCCACTCAGACCTCAAATCGCGTGCCTGCCTTGCTGTTGCTTTGCCCTCTTTGCCTAGCCATGTCGCTTCGCCGTGTCGCTTTGGGTGTTGGCCTGGCCTGCCTGGCAACGACGCTTCCAGCCTTTTTCCGGGTTTAGGGGTTTAGGGTTAAGGGTTTATGGCATTGTGGCTATTGGTATGCCAGGTATGACTTTTACTACTCTTGTCATTATCACTTGAAAAACACTGCTATGACGACTACTGCGACGACTACGGCTGCGACTAAAACCATGAATTTTTACTGCGACGACGACAGCGACTAATAATGATAATGACAAATTACTCTCATTGTTCTCATTGTCATCATTATCGCTGTTGTTATCGTCGTTGGTGTTGCTGTCATGTTTCGGGGGTCCCTCATTGTTTCTACATGCACAATTCAACCTTGCAGCTTTTAAGAACACGACTTAGGCTTGCTGGCTGCGTGTGCAACCGTGATAGCATTGCACAGTGTGTGTCCAGAGCAACCTTCGATGCGAACGAAATCTGTGGCGTGGCATACCGAAAGGTCTTGAACGGGGAATCAACAGTCGCCGAGTGTTGCCAGGCGATGGAGCGTGTCCAGGATTGCTATGCAGCTTGCCGCTGCGACATCGAATGCAAAGATCGAGACATGGTCTTTTGCCCAACGACAGGAACGGTCTCGGACCCCATCAGGTGGGTGTCTTCCAACATCCTTTATTTGAGGGCCAGGGAGACTTCGTAAGCAGGTTACCTTTGGAAACACCTTGGCTTATTGCATGGCATGTAGGGAGTATGAGTTTACTTACCAAGTTCCCTTGCTCCTGCAAGTACTGCATAATGCTGGTAGAGTCCATACTGATATTTTACCACGCCGAGAGGAGCTTAAAATATGTGGAAAATGTCGTGTATGTATGCGTATGTGCAGATGCTGCAGTTTATGTGTATGTATATATATATGTATACACGTATGCACCGAGCCTTTTCGTTATTCGTAGACATACTGGCGCACGTAAATCTATTGTGTACCTATTTACAGTTTATGCAGGGCTTGACAATAGCTTCAGAATACCTTAAAGCTTCGATTCTGCCCTTAACCCAGAACCCTAAACCCGGAACCCTTTAAGGTTCTGGCAAGACGTGATCACTTTCCTGAACAAGGATGGCGAGACATGCGAATCAGTCGGCGTGACAGGAACCATTTGCTGAGTGGGCTTAGAGCTTTCCTGGATCTCCCAAATACCCCAAAATGACTTCTAATCCAAGACGACGTCACTGGAGGTACAGATGTAGTTTTTGGGGGTACTTGGGGAGGTCCAAGTAGGGGATTAGGAGGCTTACTTGGACCCTCGATGTACTTCCTTTCAGGAGTCTGTCCCCTAAGCCACCCTCAAAAGGTAAGACATGCAGGGGTCCATGTATGAAAAAATGGAACACAGCTGAGGAATCTGTGCCAGAAGGGCAGCCTCACTAAACCTTAAACCCTAAACTGCTAAAACCACAAGTCGAGTCTGAGGAGCCCTCCCTCATGGAACAACAGGTAGACAAGACGCTCTTTTGGTGCTTATGTAAGCAAACAGGAGAACGACCTCCCTCTAATAGAAAATCCCTCCACCCCGTAGTGATGCATATTCCCCCTATTGTGTTATCGAGCCTTTTGGGAACCATCACTATTAGGGGGTGGAGGGGTTCAATTCGGGGAGGAGTCAGGAGCTAAGAAATTTGGCTGCAAAGCAGCTGTTTCAGCCCACAAGCTAGGCTGCACAGAGAGCGGAGTTTCTCAAAGTCAGAGCTATTTTGGGGTTTAGGTGGCTTTTTGGGATAGCTAGGATTCCCTGACTGGTTGATACAGGGTACTACTCATAGGTAGTTTCAAACAGCCTCAAAGTACGATACGAGCCAACGATGAGCAGAGAAAGCAAGGTTGGTGTACTTGTGTGTCATCCTAAGAAACATACACCTAACCGGGAAGGTCTGAGAAACAAGTATGCATATATATATATACATATACCTGAATATTTAATGTTTGCTTCTCTTAGTCCCTCTAGAACCTTTATAAAGCCATAAAAGTGACTTCCATTGGGCCCCCCAAAACCCTAGCTAACCTATCCTGGATGCCCCTTTCATCCCTGGCAGTTTGAGAAGCCCCAGAAAAGATGGGCCTGCCACACGGTTCGGCAGGTGCTTTTAGTGCTGTTTAATGTATAGCTTGGGTGCTGCCCGCTTCTCACAGTGTCTTTCTGAATCTATACAGCTCTTAACATTTTCCTAAACCCTAGGCCTAGACCCTAAACCAGAATTGCACGCGGAAATCTGCGGTGGATACTACAAATCCCATGACCCTAAGTACCCTAAACCTTGGGAATAACAGTGTTCAGCATACTAAGGTCATGCAGCATTTTTAGTATCAGCACTAGCACCACTCAGTAAGGGCAGTACCCAAACACAGCCTTGAGATGAAATTTCGCGGCTTCGGCTGGGACCCTTACAGGGGGTCCCTCCCAGGAGTTTGTATCATGATGCAATGGACGCTGACAAAATGTTTTCGTGTATCTATTGTGGCTATATAGATATATACATATACATATTACATATATACGTCGCACAATATGGGGGGGGATGGGGGCGGGGGAAATCGGAGAGTCGATATAATAAGGATGGCTCATTTTGGAGCCTCCCAGTTATAGAGACTCTCATATCTATACAGAGGCATGGTTTAAATTCCTAAGCGATGCAGATGAGATTTTTGGCAAATGAGCGTCTGGCCTTAACTTGGTGTAGGGCTTCCGGCATAACACCATGCATAAGGTGATTCGAATATTTACGGGGGCGATTGAAACCCTAAACCGCGTTGTGGGACGTTGCAAAAATGTCAGAGAACTCCTGCCAAGTGTGAGAAGGGATTCTCAATGCAATGCAGAAGCCTATTTTGGCTGTGGTCTACACTCCTTAAAAGGGGATTATTTGGTGTGTAGGGTTTAGGATATAGGGTTTAGTTTAGCATTATATGGGAGTCTTAAAGGGTTTATGAAGAGCATACTAGGAGTTTAGACTGTAGCTCATATGATTGCCCATTTCATGGTGTTAGGGTTCCCGTTACGTCGGATAGAAGGTATGATTAGAACTTGCCCATTCGCCCTAAGAATACACCTCCCCACCCCCGGCCGCCAGGCTATAGAGGGGTTGTCCAGAGGAATGGAAACTTTGAAGCCACTCTAATCCTTCAGGGTTTATAGGGTTTAGGCGAACAATAATATTCTTTTCAGCTTCCATGTTTCGGACTGTAGACTTCTTCGGGGCTTGAGAAACCCTAACGACGCAAACGTTCATAGAGACTACACCCTAAATGCCTAAACCCTAAAACGTTCCTGGGGCTGTAAGGTTTGCGCATCCCCAGGCCCCATCAGGCTGCACCCTTGTGAAGCAGATCAACCTTGTTTGTAGAAGACTTCTTACCAAAAGCTCAGGGATTCAGGGTAGTAGGGTGTTAGGGTCTAGGGTTTTAGGGTTTTAGGGGTTGGGGTTTAGGGTTTAGGGCACTTGCGGATCCCGAGCCGTAACCCCTAGTCCTCAATTCCCATCACCCATCAAAACTGTAATTGTAGTAGAAGAGGAATACAGAGTACCCAAATATGATCCTTATTATCCCTTATCGTCACTATTACTGGGCAGGAGGCCCATCAAAACAATCCTCGTCTAGTTTGTAAGAAGAACTACGCAGCCCACGCTCGCTTTTGTGGGGAAACCTACAGGAACCATGAAAACCCACATCTCCCTATAGCCATGAGCTCAAAACGAGTGTGTTCATACGTTTTTGGGTTTGTTTTGTTTTTGTTTCGGGGAGGAGGGGAGTGGGGGATTGAAAGTCCTGCAGCATGTTGGGTTGCCCCATTTGGGAACGCTTTCATCGCACACCGCCCTCTGGGAAGGGAACGTGCCCAAACTCCATAAGGGCTTGTGTACATGGTAGCTTCCATTTTCTTGTCCTTGCACTCGCTGGGAGCTCGAGGCCATGGATCTAACAAAGCCGAATCATAAATTCTATAATAGCTTCCATTTTCTTTCCACTTCCCTTACATCCCGATTGTGGTGTCTCCCTTGAAAACCTAAGCCCTAGAAATCCGTACGCCCTAAACCCGAATCCATGAACCTAAATCTCTACACCCTAAACCCTTTCACCCTAAACCCTTTCCTTAAGACCTCAATCCCTAAACCCAAACCATAAATCCCTAAACCTTGAAACCTAAACCCCAACCCCCAACCCCTACACCCTGAACCCTATACACACACAAGTACAAACTCTGTTTTGCTTTGGGGAACCCCACGTTCTGCCCAGAGGCCTTCGTCGCAGGTGCCTGGGAGGCCTGTGGCCTGGACAGCTGCCAGGACTCTTTAACGGGTTCATAATGGATTCAGGGTTTAGGGTTTAAGGTCTGGGGTTTCGGGCGTCTACCTGCGCAGGGCTGAGTATCCATGCGCCGATGGCGCCACCCCACTTCCAGAATCTGTGGGTGTCGGCACATCCTGCGCCCAGCGAACCTCGTGGATGTTGCCCAAGAAGCCATCGAAGCTGGGCTTTCTTCGCTGTGAAACATCACAGGCTACAACCCAAATTACTTCCTGTTAGGGTTTGGGGCTCAATTCCCACCTCAAAAAGCTCGTCTTCTTGCTTCTGATTTCATGCAAACATGATCGCTCCAGGGGTTTCAGGGATTCCAGGACCCTCCAAACAAGGCTCAGGGGTGTAGGGTCCAGGAGCCTCCACGAGCTTATAGGGGTAGAGATTTGCCCCACTGGGGTGGCTGGAGGCAGAGCTGTGCCTCCCGATGTACGGGAGGAGCCTGGAGGGCTCTATACTTCCATTCTCCATAGGCTCCTCCCAACGAGCAAAGAAAAGCTGGGTACAGAAGAAGCCTGAATATTCTCCGGCCAATATGGTTTTTGATTCTTTTTTTGGCTATGGTAAAGGATATACTTCAAACGGATCTCAACATGCTTTTGCCTATTCAGGCCCTTGCATGAAACGTATTCTCATGATGAAACATGAGTGTTACCTACCATAGTAGTTATAGAGGAATGGAAGTAATAAGGTTATACCTAGGTTGCAACTTGAGTGCTTTCTTACCTGCAAGAAAGGCCGCCTAAACATCATCACCGCTTCTAGGAACCTCACCTACCTACAGTGTAATGATGGGCTAGCTATGCCTACTGATCAGGGGGTACTTGCCGCTTTGCTTGCTGAACCTCATGTGTAGGACATCAATCCTATTCACGCCCTATAAGCACAAACCCTAAACTGCAAAGCTCAATTGCCATTGAAGGACCAGGTGACGCCCGCACTGTTGCCGAGACCCAGCAGCAGCTGAGACGTTGAGGGACGTCACGATCTGGAAAGATTTGGAGCCCCATTTTTGGGGAGTCTCGATAGGAAGCCTTAAGAATATCGGGCTGTACTTGAGGATCCCTGGTTCATCGAAACTATGGAAGCTACATTTTGGGGACTTGAAAGTCTTCAGCTGTAAAGGGCCTAACTATGCTGGGACCTCCTTTGCAGTGTTCTCCCCCAGGGCCAGGTCTACAAAATAGTATTTACTTCGGGCTCTCAAGTATGCAATCAAAACTCGGTATTGTTCATTATGATATTCTTGCTATTGCTATTCATACTCATAACAGCTGTGAAGCCTACTTGGTAGCTT